ATGATAAACAGAGAAAAAATTGAAGTTGTCAAGGATTTCATTTTACTTGGATCCACAATCAATGCCCATGGAAGCAGCAGTCAAGAAATCAAACGATGTATTGCATTGGGCAAATTTGCTGCAAAAGACCTCTTTCTAGTGTTAAAAAGTGAAGATGTCACTTTAAGGACTAAGGTGTGCCTTACCCAAGCCATGGTGTTTTCAATCGCCTCATATGCATGTGAAAGCTGAACAATGAATAAGGAAGACCTAAGAATTGTCTTTGAATCACTGCGTGGCAAAGAATACTGAATATACTATGGACTGCCAGAAGAACGAACAAATCTGTCTTGGAAGAAGTACAGCCAGAATGCTCCTTAGAAGCAAGGTTGGCAAGAGTTTGTCTCACAAACTTTGGACATGTTATCAGGAGGGACCAGTCCCTGGAGAAGGGCATCAGTCTTGGTAAAGTAGAAAGTCAGGCAAAAAGAGAAAGACCCTCAATGAGACGGACTGACATAGTGGCTGCAACAATGGGCTCAAGCATAACAATAACTGTGAGGATGTTGCAGGACTGGGCGGTAGTTCGTTCTGTTGGACATAGGGCCACTATGAGTGGGAACTGACGCAACACCACCTAACAACAACTACATAAGGGGAAGAATGTGGAACAGAATTCCAAGTTCTCAATGGAAGCCAGACTTTCTGGAGCCATTGTGGTTGGATGAACCTCCAAAACTATTGCCCTGAGATAATCTTTAAACGTTAAACCTTAAACCAAAATTATCCCCTGAAGTATTTTTTGAACCAGAAAGTAGTTTATCTTAATAAGTACATCTACCTTGAGCACTGTGCTCTTTAAAAGAATTATCCATGGGATCAAACGAACAACAGCAACTCAAAAGGTTACATGAGAAGCTTAGAGGGTAGTGAGTCCAAGTCAATGTGGTGAAACAGTTCAGAGAATGATGATGAGAATGTTTGCACAACTTGAAGAATGTAATTAATATTACTGAGTTATACATGTAGAAATTGTTGTAATGGTGTATGACTATGTATATTTTCACCAAAACTAAAAAAAAAAAAAAAGAACTGGAGCCTATTTTTCCATCCTGTGACTTGCTTTGACCAGTAGAAAATGGTGTAAGCAACACTATGTAAGTACTGAGTATGGACTTTATAGACACTTTATAGTTATAAAAAGGCTTAACAGAAACTTCTGCTCACTCTCTGAGGTCCACGTAGCCACAGTCACATGAATAAACTGGCCTGCTGGAGGGGGCATTAGTGGTTCAGTAGTAGAATTCTCACCTTCCATGTGGGAGACCCGGGTTCAATTCCTGACCAAGGCACCTCATTTGCAGTCACCATCCGTCGGTCATTGGAGGCTTGTGTGCTGCTATGATGCTGAACAGGTTTCAACAGAGCTTCCAGACTAAGATGGACTAGGAGAAAAAGCCTGGCAATCCACTTCCAAAAATCAG